AGAAATCTCTCTCTGACTGTTGCATACTTTGGACAGTACAAAGAAGGTATGGGACACTGAATCAACCACTGCCAAAGGACAGTCACAAAAGCTCTGGTCTGGAGGTGTCTCGTTTGCCATGGTTATTGCTGTTCTCTGGTTCTGTATGCCTATTGTCTTCTGGTATTCTGGTTGGGGGGAGGGAGTCTAGGAGCATGTGAGTCTGTGGATGTGAGAGCTACTTTGCAAAAAGCGTGTGAGCTTGCAACTGCGTTAAGCAGGGCCTCCCTTCTTTGGGAAGTATGCGTGCCTGACCTTGGAGGGCAGACACTGCTAGATACTAAGCTTGCAGGTGTTGGGGAAGGGCAAATGGTGCATAGTAGATTTAGGCGGGCTGGATGGATCGGTGTGATTGGACTGATCATTGGGGGGCTGTTTGAATTCTGTATAATACCAGAACTGACTCCTCATCTCTCAATGAACAAATCAGTGCCAAGAGAGTGTTGTTGGGAGTAAGTTTGTTCAGGAGTCTAACAGGAGATGTCTTAAGGAATGGTCCTTCATCTGGGCTGTTGGCAACACATTACAAGGTGTGATCATATATCACCGCCTCAGTTTTGCACCCCAGGAGGTGCACAAATGCAGTACAATGCTTTGGGGAAGCAGCTATAGTTTGTGCAAGCCATAGTTTACTTGATTGAGATGTGACACAGCAAGCCATTGCTTGCTCTTAACAAAGAACGGAAATAATTGGAGCAAGAAAGTGAAGGGTGTGTGTGCAAACCTATGGCATCTTCCTACTCGTTCATGGTTTGAAATATTGGGAATGTGACTTCTGAATTGGGGTCTAGAAGCATTTTTGCAGGGGTTTTTTTCAGTTTATCATGCTTATTGAACTGAAGGCGCCTAGGAGGTAGGTCAGTTAGTTCTTTGGAAAACTCTTGTGTATGGGTTTTTAAAATACTTTGTGTGAAGCTTGGCTTGTGCGTAGAGAATAGGTTGGTGCATGCGAGATGGCAAGCAAGCCTGCTCCTTCCCTTCCTCCTCCATGGGGATGGGGCCCCTTTCCAGGGCCATTTTTGACTCCTTAATCCACTCTTGCGTTCCTCATCATAAAATCAAGCATGCAGAGGTAGTACCAAATACTAGAATGGTCACTTTGAGATACAGGTACTTCAGACATCCCCACACCCTTTGCAATGTGTATCATTCAAGAGGAGGAGGCTGGGGGCTACAGAGAGAGGGGACAGAAGAGGGAAGCAGAAACAAGGTACCTGTCAGTGCATGTCTGCAGGCCAAAGATCAGAGTCTTGAGCAGGGCTCTCACAATCTGCAGGCAGCTAATCCCACAGAGGACTTGGTGACTATAAAACTTGAATGGGTGTGGAACTAGCAGGAGGGTGCTTGCTGGGTTCAGTAGCAGAGACCCAAACAATAATCTTGGGCTCTTCTGCTTTCTCATTTTTTTTCACTTGTGTTTCCCTATTGCTTTGGGTGTCCTCCCCCCCTTTTCCACATGTGTTTTGCTCCCTCTGGGACTACTAAGATAGAGCAAAACACATTGGGGTGTGGGGGGGGGGGAGCCCTGAAAGCAATAGGAACACACAGGTGATGAAAATCAGAATGCGGAAGGGCCCCTGGTAAAGATCCAGAGAAGCACAGAGGAAAAATCAGTGAGCATCTCACACATGCCAGGAATGGGCAGAACTTTCGTAGTTCCATACACACAGTATGTGAAACCCATTGACTTGAACGCTTTTCTGTACATTCAGGCTTCAGTTATAGGACTTGGAATTGAATAGGGTACAAATATCCCTTTTCCTGGGCTCAGGAAGAGGGATGAGAATCCAGGCTTGCTGGGGGGAGGCTTCCTGGTATGGCTGAAAGTGTCGTGAAGACGGTTCCTAGACCCTGGGAATTTTTCTGAATAAGGAAAGCCTTAGGGTAAGAAGGCATGCTAGGAACAGGCTAGGCTATTGACTGTCCAGTCTCAAGTCATGTGAGAGGGGGGGAAATGCCTTTTAGCCAAATATGTAGTTATTTGTGAATGCTAATCAAGGTGCTTTTGACACACTCCTAATTGTGGAAGTGTCCTGGTTAATGGTCTAACCACTTAGATGCCCATGCTCTCTGAGGCTTGCTTGGATATTCTTGTGAGCAGAACTGCAGTGGTTGTATCTCTAATCCTATCTCATCTCTGCTGGCTCCCACCCTTGGAAATGACCAGGAATTTCACTTTCTGGGTCCCATGTGAGTGGTAACAATGAGTTCATCTGATCATTAGACTAAGATGGAAAGGAAAAGAAAGGCCAATGCACATAACGTCTTCTTCTCACTTATGCAAGGGAACCAAAGTCAGAGAAGCCTCTGCTTTGGGGGGGAAAAATCAAAGTAGATATGAGTAGAGCTTGTTGTATTCATGAGAAGTAGATCCTTGCTATCTTGTCTTCGGGGTTAAATGTCTAGATAGGCAAAGCAAACCACAGGCAGGTTCATTCTGTCCCATTAGAACTGAACTTGTAAACCTTGGGCTGGTTACTGGATGACAGTAGACTTCTCCTGTGTTTTATTCTCACTGTTTTCATTACTGTGTTGCCATGATTCAATCTTTATTACTTTGTTTTGGTCTCACCCTAGTAAAGTTCACCTGAATATGTTCTGAGAGCTCCAACGGGCTAATGTTACTGAGTATAATGAAAAGGTTTTTTGCACTGTAACTGCTAGAAAAAAAGACTGTATAAATGTTTTGTCACAGTACAATATGACTGTTGTGCTGTGTCATTCATAAAATTTTCTTGCTTGTAATGGGCTTGACATATGTCTAGGATTGTGTAAATAACATACTTTTTGTCTGACAGGGCTCTTTTGTAGCAGGAACTCCTTCCCTTGCCATTTTCCCCCCCCCCCCCCCCCCCCCCAATGTAGCCAATCCTTCAAGAGCTTACAGAGCTCTTCTTACATGGGCTACTGTAAGCTCTTGGTAGATTGGCTACATTAGGGGTGTGTCGCCTAATAGGCAAAGAAGTTCCTGCTACAAAAAGAGCCCTACATTTTATTGTAAAGTTATATTGAAAGCCGTGGTGTGATTTAAACAAATGTAAGTAACTTTTTTTTCTCTCCTTCCTTTTTTTGTTGAAATGCTGGCTTTCCTGAACTGCTCGTGTTCATCTCTTCTGACTGTCTCTTCTCGATATGGATCATTGCAATGATGGAAACATGTTGTTCACAAAGTAGCTGTAAGTATTATGCTATATAAAAGAAATACTCTTAAAATCAAAATAATAATCCTGAGTGTGCTTAGAAATTACTTTTGCCCTGAATACCCAACTGCTTCTTGGTTGTTGCATGGCATTGAAACAGCTGAAAAAACATGGTTGGCTAGTATTATATTTATGAGTGCTATGTAGAATGTAAGGTAAAGGTAAAGGTTCCCTTGCTCGAAAGCCAGTCGAGTCCGACTCTAGGGTTGCGGTGCTCATCTCCGTTTCAAAGCCGAAGAGCCAGAGCTGTCCGAAGACGTTTCCGTGGTCATGTGGCCAGCATGACTAAACACCAAGGCACACGGAACGCTGTTACCTTCCCACTGAAGTGGTTCCTATTTATCTATTTGCAATTTCTTGCTTTCGAACTGCTAGGTTGGCAGGAGCTGTAACTAGAGATGGGAGCTCACTCCGTCATGCGGCAACCCGGGTCTCGAACTGCTGAATTACTGACCTTCCACAGCCTGCAGTTCAGCGACTTAACCACTTGAGCCACCGCATGTAGCTGAATGTAGCTGACCCATAATTGCGTTTGAAAACTTCTGTCCAACATTATAGGGATTCACCTAATGGCTGGCTCCCATTTTCCCATGCCATTGTGAACAGGAACCCTAAACAGACCCATCCATAGTAACCCCATGAAACTTACTAGCCACAGTTGTACACGTGACTATGTTAGTAATTTGAAGCCTGGAAAACAGAATCAATTCTTTTCCTGTTTGCCAAGCCCTTGTTGGCTAGAGAGCGTTTTTTCTTAACAAATGGCTGTTGAAAAACTCACCTTAAAAGCAAATGCTGGCAAGGCTACCCCCCCCACACACACTGCTCCAACTACTGTTCATGTCTCTGCTGTCTTTCGCATCTACAAGATTAACTCCTTTCTTTTATTACTGTGACCTCTCCCTTTTGAACACAAGATGCTCCCATGATACTCTTCCCCTGTTTATTTTAAAAGAAGAACTGGAGTATCCTTTTCACAGTAATGTTACCCTTCCCCTTGTTACATGGAGTGGAATGTTGCTGGTGAGGTGGTGGAACTTTTTTTTTTTACATTCTGAAAAAGCTCTTGTGTTGATCCAGTTATTTCTGTCTTCGGTACGACAAGCATTAAACATATGTCTTGATCCACCAGTGTAAAGGCTTACGGGGAAGCACGTTCTTTATTAGCGAATGGAGTTTTAAGAAGAAATAGTGAATTTGGAAGATAAGCTCCCTTTAATTGTAACAAGATTGTAAGAAGCCATCACTGTGTTGTTCCACGCACTTTTCTTAAAACCACAGCTGTGGCTCTTTCTAAAGCTTGAGAGAGCTTGAAATAACCAGTTGTAGCCAATCACCTGGCCTGGGGCAGCCCTTATGCTCTTCTGAAGTATTTTTCTAGAGCCAGTCAAGGGACTGCATCACAAATTCTTTACAGATGGCTGAAGTTCTGTGCCTCATGGCTGAAAGTGGAGTGAATACTATCTGAAAGTATATGTTTTAAGCCAATTCTGCTTGGTCCTTGGGGGAGTTGTCAGTCAGCATCCACATACCATAGGGGAAATACTTGGTTTTATTCTCGTTAAGTAGTGGGTATTCTTGAACTGAGTGCTTACAAATGGGCCATATTGAAAGCTTTCCAGTAGGGGGTAATAGGTAAGGCACGAGGAAAGCAATATTCTGTTTGTACCTGATCTAATAGCTGTACAAATCTTCATAAGTAATATTAAATCATAATTGTTCTATAAATAAGTATTCTGACTTCAGATGCTTTTATCTTAGCAACAGAAGAATCTTGAAGGATATGTGGGGTTTGCAAATCTCCCCAATCAAGTTTACAGGAAGTCTGTGAAGAGAGGGTTTGAATTCACACTCATGGTAGTAGGTAAGTGCTACATTGTGGTTCTTCAGTAATCCAGTCAAATGGTGATTCTCTGCTTTATCCAAAAAGAGCATATAGTAAATTGACTCATGTACCTATTCATAAGTTGATTTTGTTAGAGTTGACGCCTGTAATAAAAGTGGAAGTTATAGTCGATTTCTGGCTTGCTCACGTAATGATACTACTTAATTTCTGTGATGTAATCATAACAGATACCGTGTTGGGTTCTTGAGACTGGATCTCTCATGTTTTCTTGTCTGTGTGGTATTTTAGTCTGTCTGGGTCACTTTTTAAGTTTTGTGAGCTTTAGGTCTGGTCTTCAGAGAAGTAGAATATGAATGTTTTGAATAAATAACCATCCCTACTCCCCTCACCAGGCCTTTCAGCAGGTGGTGGGCAGTGTTCCCTCTAAGCTGAGTTAGTGTGAGCTAGCTCAAAGTGTTTTAGCCTCCAGCTCACATGTTTTTGTTTTAGCTCAGGACTGATGGCTCCAGAGCAAACTAATTTATGCCTTAGCCAAATCACCTGCTCACAACTTTAATGCCAGTAGCTCACAAAGTAGAATTTTTGCTCACAGGGCTCCATAGCTTAGAGGGAGCATTGATTGGTGGGTGGTCAGTGAACTTTCTCTCAATTCTGATATTTGGTCTGTAGCTCTCCCATTTGTGGATTGTAACTCTCCCATTTGTAATGCAGCTGTCATGCAGAGTGTGTATGCTTAGTGACAGCTGTGTGTAGCCTCTTTGTTAAACTAATTGCAGGTCACCAACATTCCAAATTACAGGTAAATTGAATAGGCAAAAGTTTCAGTAGAAGGTTGGAATGTTTCGAATATATATGTACCAAACGCTCCATCGTTATTCACTTAAGATCTCTAGGCTGTTTTTTCTTCACTAAGAATTTACTACCGTGGTGCTTTATGAAGGAAAAATGTCAAGGCGTTAATTAAAGGGTGGCTGCGTCCAAGTAGTTGTACGTTCATCATAACAAGACATACTTCTGTCAAGCTTTACAACTTCATAATTTTACTTTATGCTGTTCATATCTTTTTGTTTTAGTGGCCTGGGGCAGATCCTCCCCATTTATATTTCCAGTGTTCCTGCTGGAGTATTGCATCAGAAATTATGTAATTGTGTACTCTGATGATAAATCTCCTAAAGTTTGTTTTCTTACATGGCTGATAAACCTGATACTGAGTGAAAGCTGAAAGCAATCAAGAGTTACTACATAATGACTGCTGTTCTCTCCCCTTTTTAAACTTTGGGTAGCTGTATAAACAGCACTGGAGTCTGTACTTGGATGGGTGCTGGCTGTTAATCATAATGCACGGTAAGCACTTTGTGCCCTGGGGCCTTTTAAAGACTAAACGTGACATGGGTGAACATATTTCGAGCACCTTAAAAGACCCTTAGAACATAATATCATAACTAAGACATGAGCAGGCCATTTATGCAAAGTGGTGAAGTGCTTTTAAGATCATTAAACTTCCATTGCACGTATATTGTTATAAACCACAGTAACAAGGGTTTAGTGTTAACACTGCTTTACAGTCAGTTTCATTCTGCCCATGGATATGTTTCCTGGCTTACTGGCACATCCACGGATGTAGTATTGAGAACAGAATTGTCAAGAATTTCTTTCCTTCTGCCAATTTTGCTGTGCTGATTAGTTGCTTTTATGGCAGGGTTGCTTTTCTGTAAAACCCGTTAATTTACATTCATTCAGAAACTTGAGTGGCTTACTTGGCTCCTGGCTTCTCTGGTGAGGGATATGAACTTCCTGTATCTCCGTTTATGTAGCTAGAATTTTTAAAGATGAGACAATCCAGACTGTGTCCAAGAGAAATCTACAAAGGGCCAGAATTAAAGCTGATGTCTTCACATAGTGTTTGGAGCTTTAACTACTGAATTACTACTTTTATTGAGCTTTATTTTATATGGGTCACTTGTGTGGAGCTAGTCCAGTAGCACGCTAGAGACCAACAAGATTTGCAGGGTATCAGCTTTCAAGAGTGAAAACTTGCTTCATCCAATGCATTTGTGTGAAATGTGGATCCTAGATAACTGGCTGATAGCCTTTTACTCTGAGAGCATTCCTGCCTTATCTTCTCCAGTGACACTAACCCTTGTGGAACTATGTAATGCAAGCCTTATTGGCCAGGATGCGAAGCATATTACTCGCAAGTCAAAAGTGTTTCCACAGATTGTACTATTACCAGTTTTCCCCTCTCCCTCTGCATTCTGCATTACTCTAGAGGAGGTCTTAATGCTTTGGAAGGGGATTTCAGAGGCTACATTGGGATAGGTATCAGAGAAACTCCAGTGCAGTAAACACTATGTACAGCTGTCGAGAGCTACCATGGGACCCCAGACAGAGGTTTCTTTCGCCCTTTCCCCCATTTGATCATGATCTAAACCAAATATCATAACGAAACAAATCACTTGGCTGCAGAGGTCATTTCGGGGGGGGATCGCAGTTCCCCCGGGTGAGGTACGAGGGGGCACATGACGAAGCCCCGCCCCCTGCTTCTGGCCACCCCACTTCTGGCCCTCATTCAGCCAGGAGGAGGCAGGTGAAGAGGGAGGGTAAGTTGCTTCCTCCCTGCCTCTCCCCACCCCTGCCTGCCTGGGGCCAGGGAGGGCCTTCGCGGGGCTTCCTTGCACTCCCACCAGCCTTGCAGGTCCACCGCCGGGCCCCTCATGGGGCTCGGCAGTGGAGCTGCAAGGCTGGCGGCGGCGGCCGGGACCGTT